GCTTTTCTTCCAAGGAGCAAGTGTCTTTTAATTTCATGACTGCAGTCACCATCTGCAGTGATTTTGGAGCCCAAGAAAATAAAGTCTGTAACTGTTTCCATTGTTTCCCCATCTATTTGCCATGAGGTGATGGGACCAGATGTCATGATCTTAGTTTTCTGAATGTTGAGTTTTAAGCCAGCTTTTTCACTCTTCTCCTTTACCTTCATCAAGAGGCTCTTTTGTTCCTCTTCAATTTCTGCCATAACTGTGGTGTCATCTGCATATCTGTATACTTCTCCTGGCAAGTTTGATTCTAGCTTGTGCTTCATCCAGGTTGGCATTTTTCATAAAAGTTAAATAAGGAGGGTGACAATATACAGCCTTGAGGTACTGCTTTCCCAGTTTTGAACCAGTTTGTTGTTCCATATCTGGTTCTAACTGTTGCATCTTTACCTGTATACAGGTTTCTCAGGAGGCACATACATTGGTTTGGTACTCCCATCTCTTTAAGTATTTTCCACAGTTTGTTATGATCCACACAGTCACACAGCTTTAGCATAGTCAGTGAAGCAGAAGTAGATGTTCTTCTGGAATTCTCTTGCTTTTTCTATGATTGAACAGATGTTGGCAAGTTTATCTGTGTTTCATCTGCTTTTTTTAAATCCAACTTGTACATCTGGAAGTTCTCAGTTCACGTACTCTTGAAGCCTCGCTTGAAGAATTTTGAGCATTACTTTGCTAGCATGTGAAATCAGTGCAATTGTGTGGTTTTGAACAGTTTGAACATTCCTTGGCAATGCCCTTCTTTGGGTTTGGAATGAAAACTGAACTTTTCCCATCCCAAATTTGCTGGCATATTGAGTGCAGCACTTTCACAGCATCATCTTTTAGGATTTGAAATAGCTCATCTGGAATTCCATCACCTCCACTAGCTTTGTTCATAGTGATGCTTCCTAAGATCCACTTGACATTCTACTCCAAGATGTCTGGCTCTAGGTGAGTGATTGCACCATCATGGTTATCTCAGTCATTAAGATCTTTTTATATAGTTCTGTGTATTCTTGCCACCTCTTCTTAATATCTTTTGCTTCTATTAGGTCTGTACCATTTCTGTCCTTTATTGTGCCTACTTTTGCATGAAAGGTTCCCTTGGTATCTCTAATTTTCTCAAAGAGATCTCTAGTCTTTCCCATTCTATTGTTTTCCTCTGTTTCTTTGCATTGTTCACTTAGGAAAGCTTTCTTATCTCTTGCTATTCTTTAAATAACTACTTTGAGCCAAGGACTATTCATGGCACCCATCACAATTGCATTCTCTTCACCTTAAGTGTGGGCTGGGATGGAGATGTAATGGCTATGTGGACCAGTTAGAAAAATTTATCTTACTGACTAGTGTTTTGGACCATTCTGGATACCATTGATTTTAGCCTGGGTATTCTAGAAGGAGACACTAAGAGAAAATTAAATGTACAAGGATTTTATTAGTGGAAATGCCTTTGAAGAGGAATACAGATGGAACTAGGAATGCTGAAAGATTTATCAAGTCTCTTGACAGCCTGATATGAAGAGAATGAGAGATGGTTGGGCTGATGCAACTTAGGCTGTGGGCCAAGCCATCAGGTAGCCCTGAACCAAAGTAGACCAACAAAGGAATCCTTTGTCTCCTAGAAACATATCAACATTAGTGGACAGCAGTATATGGGAGGAGTGGCCTCAGCCCAATCTTTAGATGGGTTTCAAGGCAAAGCAGCCTTTGACCAATTACATTTCCTAACTTAGAATGAAGCTAAGAGGAACATTCTCATCACTGGCACACCTAGAAATAGCCAGTACTCTTAAATCTTAAAATCTAAGATGATGAGTGACCATATAGTTCATTATCCAAGGCAGAATGCTTTTGAGAATGAAAGGAAAGAGGAGTCTGTTTGGAATTACACTAGAACTGTTCCAAGCACACTCTATAGTCATATTATCATTTATTTTCAAAGTCCTTTTTTATGCTTTTAGCTTAACCATCTTAGATCTTAACACTGCAATTCATAAACCTTACTGATTTCTCCAAATCTATTCAACTCCTTCAAATAATCTTCATTTAAATTTACTAATCAAAACTTAGTTCGTGGTCTGCCCATTAAAGGATTTTTCTTATCTTTTTTTTTTTTTTTTTTTTTACCACTAAACTCTTGTGTCCTCTTGCGTTTCATCCACAATCATGCAGGGAAAAAAAAAAATCTGATTTCACTGAAATTAGTACTAATCAACGCTGGTGTAAGTTACATTTCAATGACCACTTTTATCACTACAAATTCATGATCTTCAAAATCATCTTTAACATCAGCACAGCTCCTATTTCTCCAAGAAAAGCCAATTAGTAATATCCCCTGTAATATTCATATATCCAATGGTTTCTAAAAATATTTTCATGCAAGTAGCAATCATATTTGACTCCTTCCTTTTGGTCAAAAAAGGTTCCTCTTCCTCTGTTTCAGTGCTGGAACCAGTCCTTCTAGGATTTTATTCCATAGCTCATTTTCTATCCTTTATTGTCGCCTCCTACATGCTTTTAAATTTCCCCTAAGCATATGAACATTATTGTATTTTTCTAATTGAAACATTTAATGAAAATTGCTTTGACCCTTATATATTTTAACTCACACACATTTGTTTTATCTTCACATACATATTCCTTAAAAGTATCCATAAATGTGGTTTTCACTTCTTTACTTCTGTTTCACTCTCCAACTCATTGAAACCTAATGCCTTTGCTTCATCATTCTATTGAAAATGTTTTACTAAGGTCATTGTGGTAGATTCAATGACCACAATTTCTTTTTAGATTCTCCTATTAACAGGTGACTTTTTATTCACCTCTTTGACCTGTGCTGGTAATATGATTTTCTATGACCAATAAAATGCAGCAGAAATGCCATGCTACATCAAGAGACCTTGCAGCTCCCTTTCCAGCACTTTTTGAATGCTTCCACAGTATGAACAAGCCTGAGCTAACTTGATGGAAAGGCCACACAGAAGAGAACCAAGGCATCCTGGCCAACAGCCTGACAACCACGAAGTGTGTGAGTGAGACTGTCTTATACAAACCAGCCCCTTGCTGGTCTCCCAAATGAGCTGCTGCCAAAAGGGTGAACCTAAGACCAGAAGAAGAATCATACAGCTGAGCACAGTCCAGATTGCTGACCCTCAGAACTATGATTTCATAAATGGTTATTTTAAGCAATTAATTTTCAGGGTAATGTTTTACATAGCAAATATTAATTAAAACAAAGCAGTGCAGTACCACATGTAAAACATCACATATATTATTTAATCTAAATCATAAAATAATTGAGAAGTGCTAATTTATCTGCTTTTAATGATGAAATATTGGAGCTCAAAGGAGTAATTTCAATGAGGTATCACAGCTTCCATGGAAGAGCCAGCATCTTTAATCAAGCACTCTATTCAGCTTAAACTCTCAGTAGAACCTGAAAATTATGACCACTCAATATTTCTTCATATTTAACTCTATTGGCAACCACAGTTGTGACATATTAATTCTATTTAATTTTGTATTGCTGTTTATTATGTGGATAATTCAAGTAGTTTTCTTTGCTACTCATCAAACACAAGGGTGAACCAATTCCTTGCTCACCTAAAGTCTAATTGCACTGTCTGAATAAAAGTCTTCAGCCTTCAATTTATTTTTTTCCAAATATCGAGTTTGAGTAAAATAATTTTGTGATGGATTCTCTGGAGATGTGCACAATTAAATTATATTCTGACATCCACACACACACAAACATATACATATATATATAGTTATTGGATTAAATCTGTGCCAAATGGTACTCTGGTTATAGTATCATTTTTTTTTAAAGTCAGGTTAGTCCATAGTGAAGATAAAATTTTTAATCTGGGTAAGCAGTTTTATTTTAGTTTAATCCAATAACCATTAGGAATGATTGCAATATCCTGTAACATCCCAGCACTCATGTAGTCTCTTTAGATTTCATCTATCTCCTCAACTATTTAGAGATACTTGACTATTTATTTTAATTTAAAATATTGAAGCTTTTGGAATTTATTTGAGGGTAAATGATTCAGAATATAATGAGTGCTTCAGAGTAGTGCAATCAATAGCTTCAACAATGCCAATAATATTTAGCAAGAAATGCTGTTTTCCCATTTATTACCATTCAGATTTCAGTCTTAGTCTCAGAAAAAAGAATGCCACTTAGAAAATGATGCAATCTATTTGCATAGATATCCATGGACATCTGCTTAAAATGCCCTCTTCTCCTCTTTTACTTAGCAAAGACTTACTTAAATGAGAGCCTGAATAGTCCTTCTCCTGTGATAAGCAGTCAGCCATGACCATGTGTGAGACATTATTTTAGGTGCTGCAGACAGAAAGGAAAATAAGAAAAATAAGTTCCACCACTCCTAGTTTTTATCAATTTATAGAATAGTTAATAAATAAAAATAATAGTTTAAGGTAAATGCTATGAAGAAAATAGAATGGAATTGAAGTCACAGTGAGTATCTGTATGTGTGTGCATGTGCACATGTACATGTGTGTATGATTGGGGGAGGTCATTTAAAAAGTGTGGTGAGGGAATAATTCAAAGAAGCTGACTCTTGAACTGGGGCATGCTTGCCCCAGAAGAAAAAGCCATCAATCCAGAAAACTTTAGGGTGAACATATTAAGTCCAAAAGAATAGCAATTTACAAACTCACATTGTGAGGATGAGATTGGCTAATTAAGGAATAGGAAGAAGGCTGGTGTGGTTGGGGGTAGGTTAGAAAAGAAAACATTGTAAGGAATTTTAATGAGAGACAAAAGAGATTTGGGCATGTTAAGAATTTGGATTTTCATTTATGTACAAATAAATACCTTTTGAGAATTTAGTGAGGGAAAAGACATGGCTATATTTATGTTAAGAAAATATTATTTTGTCCTTTCTGCCCATGGACGCCACCGAGAAAGCATCGTTGAAGACTTCCCCGCCTCCACTGCCGTCATGTCTAAATCAGAGTCTCCCAAAGAGCCCGAACAGCTGCGGAAGCTCTTCATCGGAGGATTGAGCTTTGAAACAACTGATGAGAGTCTGAGGAGCCATTTTGAGCAATGGGGAACTCTCACAGACTGTGTGGTAATGAGGGATCCAAACACCAAGCGCTCCAGAGGCTTCGGGTTTGTCACATACGCCACGGTGGAGGAGGTGGATGCGGCCATGAATGCAAGGCCACACAAGGTGGACGGAAGAGTTGTGGAACCAAAGAGGGCCGTGTCAAGAGAAGATTCTCAAAGACCTGGTGCCCACTTAACTGTGAAAAAGATTTTTGTTGGTGGCATTAAAGAAGACACTGAAGAACATCACCTGAGAGATTATTTTGAACAGTATGGAAAAATTGAAGTAATTGAAATCATGACTGACCGAGGCAGTGGCAAAAAGAGAGGGTTTGCTTTTGTAACCTTTGATGACCATGACTCTGTAGACAAGATTGTCATTCAGAAACACCACACTGTGAATGGCCACAACTGTGAAGTGAGAAAAGCCCTGTCTAAGCAAGAGATGGCTAGTGTTCATCCAGCCAGAGAGGTCGAAGTGGTTCTGGAAACTTTGGTGGTGGTCGTGGAGGTGGTTTTGGTGGGAATGACAACTTTGGTCGTGGAGGAAACTTCAGTGGTCGAGGTGGCTTTGGTGGCAGCCGTGGTGGTGGCGGATATGGTGGCAGTGGGGATGGATATAATGGATTTGGTAATGACCGAAGCAATTTTGGAGGTGGCGGAAGCTACAATGATTTTGGCAATTACAACAATCAATCTTCAAATTTTGGACCCATGAAAGGAGGAAACTTCGGAGGCAGAAGTTCTGGCCCCTATGGTGGTGGAGGCCAGTACTTTGCCAAACCACGAAACCAAGGTGGCTATGGTGGTTCCAGCAGCAGCAGTAGCTATGGCAGTGGCAGAAGGTTTTAATCACTGCCAGGAAACAGAGCTGAGCAGGAGAGGAGAGCCAGAGAAGTGACAGGGAAGCCACAGGTTACAACAGATTTGTGAACTCAGCCAAGCACAGTGGTGGCAGGGCCTAGCTGCTACAAAGAAGACATGTTTTAGACAATACTCATGTGTATGGGCAAAAAACTCGAGGACTGTACTTGTGACTAATAGTATAACAGGTTATTTTAGTTTCTGTTCTGTGGAAAGTGTAAAGCATTCCAACAAAGGGTTTTAATGTAGATTTTTTTTTTGCACCCATGCTGTTGATTGCTAAATGTAATAGTCTGATCATGACGCTGAATAAATGTCTTTTTTTTTTTTTTAATGTGCTGTGTAAAGTTAGTCTACTCTGAAGCCATTTTGGTAAACTACCCCAACAGTGTGAAGTTAGAATTCCTTCAGGGTGATGCCAGGTTCCATTTGAAATTTATTTACAACCTGCTTGGTGGAGAAGCTGTTGTCTTCAGAACCTTGGTGTAGTTGAACTGACAGTTACTGTGTTGTGACCTGGAGTTCACCATTAAAAGGGTCACCCATGCAAAGTCATGGAGGTTTTTTTTTTTTGGTTATTAATGATTGTTGGCACATCCTATGCAATATATCTAAATTGAATTATGGTACCAGATAAAAGTTATAGATGGGAATGAAGCTTGTGTATCATCCATTATCATGTGTAATCAATAAAAGATTTAATACCCTTGAAAAAAAAAAGAAAAGAAAATATTATTTTGAGTGCCATGTGGAAAAGAGGGTGTGGAGACACAAAATAGGAGCACTGGGACCAATTTAGAGGTTATTATAATAGTCAAAGCTAGGGAGAAAGTTGCTTGTATAGTAGCAGAGGGAAAGAGTAGCCAAAATATATGAGATATTTCCAAGATACAGTTGACAGTATTGAACGGAATGTAAGGTGGAGGGAGGGAGACCACAAGAGTAGCTCCTTGTACTTTTCTTAAACACCTGGGTAAATGGTGATGGCATTTACTGAAATGAGGAAAGACTGAAAGGGAGGCAGACTGGGAGTGAGATTGAATAATTTATTTTGAATTTATGGAGTTAGACGTGCCTATTAAAGATCCATGCACACAGTTTGCATGTGTACACACACACAGAGAAAACATCATAAGAAATGAAGTGTTCAAAGAACTGAAAAACAAATTTATTGGGTAGATCATTAATATGCAAGTAGATCTGTACCAAGAGAAGACGTTTGAAGAGAACAGTGTGCACCATGCCAAAATTATCAATGAATTCAGAAGATGACTACAAAGAAGAGTATCAGGTTTTATTGTCTGAGGTCATATACTTTAAAAGAGGTGGAGGGTTTAATGAAACTATTCACAGAATAAAGAAGCAAGAATTCATAGCAATTGTCTAGAGGTAATGGCAATGGGAAGTAAAGAATATACCTACCCTAACTTCTGGTCAGGGTTAGATATATAGACATAAGACTTAAAAACTGAGAGAAAGGATAATAGCCATCATTTGGCTAGATGCATTGGGGAAAGTCCTATTATAGGGAGATGTAAAGCTGATCGGAGCCCTGACATCCTTGGACCAGTTACAGAAATCAACCCTCAGTCCCAGGTAAGAAATGAAAACAGTGGCACCCTGCAGAAAACAGACACTTGGTCCTACAGAAGCTAGGATAGCATTTATACTGTCTGCTACATGCAGACTCCAAAGTGAATGACTAAAATTAAAAAAAAAAAAATCTAGAGTTACAATTCAACATAAGCTGATTTAGGGCTTCCCTGGTAGCTCAGCTGGTAAAGAATCTGTCTACAATGCAGGAGACCCCAGTTCAATTCCTGGGTAAGGAAGTTCCCCTGGAGAAAGGATAGGCTAGCCACTCCAGTATTCTTGGGCTTGGTGGCTCAGACTGTAAAGAATTGCCTGCAATATGGGAAACCTAGGTTCAATACCTGAATTGGGAAGATCCCCTGGAGGAAGGCGTGGCAACCCACTCCAGTATTCTTGCCTAGAGCATCCCCATGAACAGAGGAGCCTGGCAGGATACAGTTCATGGGGTTGCAAAGAGTCAGACATGACTAAGCAAGTAAGCACACACATACACACATGAGCTGATTTAAAGAAAAGGTGCATTAGGGAAAAACGAATCATGAGAGAAACAGTTGATTTACAGTTGGCAAAGCAAAAAGAAAATTCATACCCAAGTATAAAGAGATAATAGAACACTCTCAAAGGGAGTTAAAATAGGTATATTAAGAAATTTTAAAGAAACTAACTGTGAAAAGAATGAGAGATTATGAAATGAGAAAATAATATTTTGAAAAGATGAAAGAAAAATATTAGAAATGCAAAACAGAGAGGCGGTCCTAAGATGGCAGAGGAATAGGACAGGGAGACCACTTTCTCCCCCACAAATTTATTGAAAGAACATTTGAACACTGAGCAAATTCCACAAAACAACTTCTGAATGCTGGCAGAGGACATCAGGCACCCAGAAAGGCAGCCCTTGTGTCTTCAAAAGGAGGTAGGACAAAATATAAAAGATAAAAAGAAAGACGGAAGAGGTAGAGATGGAGATCCATCCCAGGAAGGGAGTCTTAAAAGAGAAGTTTTCAAACACCAGGAAACACTCTCACCCAATCATGCACACATATACATGTGCACATGCACACACATACAGATACTCACTGTGAGTCATTGGTGGGTCTGTGGGAGTTTTGAGTCTCACAAGGCAACATAACCAGGAGGAAAAATAAATAAGTAAATAAAACCCACAGATTACATGCCTAACATAAAACCCAGACCTCGCATCTGCCACCAACAAGAGAGGGCTGAACAGGGAGGCGTGGGCTTCATTGTTTAGGGTAAGGACCGGGCCTGAATGCCCTGAGGGCAATCTGAGGGAACCAAAGTGAGATAGCAATCCAAATTGTGGGGGTAGCCAGAGAGAGAGAGAGAAAGAAAAGAGAGAGAGAGAGAGAGAGAACTATCCCTAGAAAAGCCCTAACCTAAGGCACTGCCAGGCCCACTCACAAAACAAAAGACTGATCAAATACCAGAGGAGAGACAGCCTGCTGCAGACCAGCCCATTCCCCGCCAGAGACAGGGAGGCTGGCAGAGGGAATTCAGAGTTGGAAAGGGGCAATCTTGGCCCCAGAGAGGCATCCTCTACCAAACTGCAAGCAGGCTCCCAGTTGCTAACCAAGACTTCTTGGGATTCTGGACGGTTGACATTGGCTGGGAGGGTCGCAGCCTGAGATCAGGTCCCTAGAAGAGACACACAGCACACCTGTGATGGGCTCGAGAGTGCCACCCAGGAAACTGAGTGGCTGGGGTGGGAGAGAGACAAGATGCACTCCCCACCTGGGGAGACTGCTCACCAAGCACCTGGTCGCCTGAGCTGCTTGGACCTGGGAAGGGCACAAAACGCAGGCCCAACCGAATCTGCGCTGTTGTGGAGCAACTGAGAACCTGAACCTGAGAGGCTTAGACCTGGAAAGTGCACGCAACCCAGGGCCAGCGTCAGACAGTTCCCAGGCAGAACAACCTAGAGCCTGAGAAGTGTAGACCATGAAAGCACACATGCAGTGAGCAGGGTCAAACCCAGTGTGGCCGGGACACTGCGAGCACTCCCCACACACACCAGTGATATTTGTTTGCAGTGTTCCTCCCTCCCCACAGCACCACTGAACAAGTGAGCCTAAATAAGTGACCACCTTCGCCCTCTTGTGTCAGGGTGGAAATTAGACAATGAGAAGACCAGCAAACAGAAGAAGCTAAAATAAACAGAGGGAACCACTTTGGAAGTGACAGGTGCAACAGATTAAAACCCTGTAGTTAGCACCAACTACACTGAAAGGGGCCTATAGATCTTGAGAACTATAAGCTGGATCAAGGAACTATCTGAAACTGAACTGAGCCCACACTTCCCTCGATAGCTCCAGAGAAATTCCTAGATATATTTTTACTATTATCATTTTTAAATTTTTTAATATATTTTTTATTTTTAAGGCCTCTATTACTCCTTTAATTTTCATTTTTATAACCTACCACTACCTTGCAAAAAAAGACCCTATTATAAAGCAAACTTCATATATATATTTTATAATTTTTGTGACATTGTTATTTTTTAATTTTCTAATTTTGAGAACCTAACCTCCACTCTAGAATTTTAATCTTTGCTTTTTGTGTTTGTTATCAATTTTGTCCCTTTAAGAACCCAATCTTCCGTACCCATTTTTACTTGGAATTGTGATTATTGGCTTGATTGCTCTCTCCCCCTTTTGACTCCCCTTTTTCTCCACCAGGTTGCCTCTATTTCCTCCCTCCCTCTTCTCTTCTCTACCCAACTCTGTGAATTGCTTTGTGTGTCCCAGGCTGTGAACACTTAGGGAACTGATTACTGGCTGGATCTGTCTCTCTCCTTTTAATTTCCCTTTTCTCCTCCTGGTCACCTGTCTCCTTCCTCCTTCTTCTCTTCTCTGTGTAACTCTGTGAACCTCTCTGAGGGGTCCAGACTGTGGTGAGCACACAGGGAATTGATTACTGGCTTACTTGCTCTCGCCCCTTTTGATTCCCCCTCTTTTCCTCCTTGTCACCTTTATCTCCCTCATCCCTCTTCTCTTATCCACATAACTCTGTGAACCTCTCCAGGCATTCCTCACTGTGGAGAAGCTTTTCATCATTAACCTAGATGTTTTATCATCAGTGCTGTAGAGATGGAGATAGTCCTGAGGCTACTGTAAGAATAAGACTGAAAACCAGAAGCAGGAGGCTTAAGTCCAAAACCTGAGGACACCAGAGAACTCCTGACTCCAGGGAACATTAATTGATAAGAGCTCATCCAAAAGCTTCCATACCTACACTTAAACCAACCACCATCCAAGAGCCAACAAGTTCCAGAGCAAGACATACCATGCAAATTCTTCAGCAACGCAGGAACATAGCCCTGAACTTCAATATACAGGTTGCACAAAGTCACACCAAGCCCACAGACCTCACAATTTACTGGACACTTCATTGCACTCCAGAGAGAAGAAATCCAGAGCCACCCACCAGAACACTGATGCAAGTTTCCCTAACCAGGAAACCTTGAAAAGCCACCTGTCCAACCCCACCCACAGTGAGGAACCTCTGCAAAAAAAGAGGGACAACAAACGGCCAGAATACAGAAAGTCCACCCCAAACACAGCAACCTAAACAAGATGAAAAGGCAGATAAATACTCAGCAGGTAAAGGAAGAGGATAAAGGCCCCCAAAAAACAAGCAAAAGAGGAAAGATAGGGAGTCTACCTGCAAAAGAATTCAAAATAATGATAGTAAAGAATGATCAAAAAAATTGAAAACAAAAGGGAGTTACAGATAAATAGCTAGGAGACAAGGATTGAGAAGATGCAAGAAATGTTTGACAAAGGCCTAGAAGAAATAAAAAAGAGTCAATCAATAATGAATAATGCAATTACTGAGATAAAAAACACTCTGGAGGTAACCAACAGTAGAATAATGGAGGCAGAAGACGGGATAAGTGAGGTAGAAGATAGAATAGTAGAAATAAATGAAGCAGACAGGAAAAAAGAAAAAAATAATTAAAAGAAATGAGGACAACCTCAGAGACCTCTGGGACAATGTTAAATGCCCCAACATTCAAATCATAGGAGTCCCAGAAGAAGAAGGCAAAAAGAAAGGCCATGAGAAAATACTTGAGATAATAGTTGAAAACTTCCCTAAAATGGGGAAGGAAGTACACCACATTAACAAATTGAAAGATAAAAACCAAATGATTATCTCAACAGATGCAGAGAAAGCCTTTGAAAAAATTCAACATCCATTTATGATAAAAACCCTCCAGAAAGCAGGCATAGAAGGAACATATGTCAACATAATAAAAGCTATATATGATAATCTGACAGCAAACATTTATCCTCAATGGTGAAAAACTGATAGCATTTCTCCTGAAGTCAGGAACAAGACAAAGGTGCCCATGCTCACCACTGCTTTTCAACATAGTTTTCGAGGTTTCAAAGACAGCAATCAGAGAAGGAAAAGAAAAAGAAGGAACGCAGATTGGAAAAGAAGATATAAAACTCTCACTGTTTGCAGATGAGATGATCTTCTACACAGAAAACTCTAAAGACTCCACCAGAAAATTACTAGAGCTAATCAATGAATATAGTAAAGTTGCAGGATATAAAATTAACACAGAGAAACCCCTTGCACTCCTGTACACTAATAATGAGAAATCAGAAAGAGAAATTAAGAAACAATTCCATTCACCATTGCAACGAAAAGAATTAAATACTTAGCAATATATTTACCTAAAGAAAAAAAAAGACCTATATATAGAAAGCTATAAAACACTGATGAAAGAAATCAAAGATGACACAAATAGATGGAGAAATATGCCATGTTCATGGATTGGAAGAATCAATACTGTGAAAATGAGTGTATTACCAAAAGCAATCTATAGATTCAATGCAATCCCATCAAGGTACCAATGGTTTTTTTCACAGAACTAGAACAAATAATGTCACAATATGTATGGAAATACAAAAAACCTCGAATAACCAAAGCAATCTTGAGAAAGAAGAATGGAACTGAAGGAGTAAACCTGCCTGACTTCAGGCTATACTACAAAGCTACAGTCATTAAGACAGTATGGTACTGGCACAAGACAGAAATATTGATCAATGGAACAAAATAGAAAGCCCAGAGAGAAATCCACGCACCTATGGACACCTTATCTTTGACAATGGAGGCAAGAATATACAATAGAGAAAAGACAATCTCTTTAACAAGTGGTGCTGAGGAATCTGGTCAACCACTCATAAAAGAATGAAACTAGAATACTTTCTAACACCACACACAAAAATAAACTCAAAATGGATTAAAGATCTAAATATAAGATGAGAAACTATAAAACTCCTAGAGGAAAACATAGGCAAAACTCTCTCTGACATAAATCACAGCAGGATCCTCTATGACCCACCTCCCAGAGTAATGGAAATAAAAGCAAAAATAAACAAATGGGACTTAATTAAACTTAAAAGATTTTGCACAATGAAGGAAACTATAAGCAAGGTGTAAAGACAGCATTCAGAATGGGAGAAAATAATAGCAAATGAAGCAATTGACAAAGAAATAGTCTCAAAAATATACAAGTAGCTCATGCAGCTCAATTTCAGAAAAATAAACGACCCAATTAAAAAACGGGCCAAAGAACTAAACAGATATTTCTCCAAGGAAGGCACACAGCTGGCTAACAAACACATGAAAAGATACTCAACATCACTCATTATCAGAGAAATGAAAATCAAAACCACAATGAAGTACTGACTCATGCCAGTCAGGCTTCTCTCAAAAAGTCTACAAACAATAAATGCTGGAGAGGATGTGGAGAAAAGGCAACCCTCTTACACTGTTGGTGAGGATGCAAACTAGTACCAACACTATGGAGAACAGTGTGGAGATTCCTTAAAAAAACTGGAAATAGAACTGCCATATGTCCCAGCAATCCCACTGCTGGGCATACACGACTGAGGAAATCAGAATTGAAAGAGACACATGTACCCCGATGTCCATCACAGCACTCTTTACAATAGCCAGGACATGGAAGCATCCTAGATGTCCATCAGCAGATGAATGGATAAGAAAGCTGTGATACATATACACAATGGAATATTACTCAGCTATTCAAAATAATGTATTTGAATCAGTTCTAATGAGGTGGATGAAACTGGAGCCTATTATACAGAGTGAAGGAATTCAGAAAGTAAAGCACCAATAGAGTATATCAAGGCATATATATGGAATTTAGAAACGTGGTAATGATGACCCTATATGCGAGACAGCAAAAGAGACACAGATGTAAAAAACATACTTTTGGACTCTGTGGGAGATGGCGAGGGTGGGATGATTTGAGAGAATTGCAATGAAACATGTATATTACCATATGTGAAATAGATTTCCAGTCCAAGTTTGATGCCTGAGACAGGGTGCTCAGGGGTGGTGCACTGGGATGACCCTGAGAGATGGGATGGGGAGGGAGATGGGAGGGGGGTTCAGGATGGGGAACATACGTACACCCATGGCTGATTCATATTAATGTATGGCAAAAACCACTACAATCATGTTAAGTAATTAACCTTCCAATTAAAATAAATTAATTAATAAATAAATTTAATGCAAAATAGACTATACACACTAAAAAGAGATGTTATTTTTTTTAATGACTGTCAAGAAAACACAAAATATCCAACATAATTATATAGAGAGATGAGAAATATTTAAAGGCATTTAAGAAAAATGAGGGATAGAATTAAAAGTATTGGAAAATGCTTGCAAAATAATTTATCCATATCTGTATACTATATGTTTATATGTATATATATTATATGTATATTATACCCAATATATAGAAAATATTTTTCCTTTACAAGCATAAGGGAAAGATGTAGAAGCATGGCATGCTGCAGTCCATGGTATTACAAAGACTCAGACACAACTGAATGACTGATCGACAACAACAAAATATGTATGTTTATGTGTATGTTGTATACATATTTTACAATATACAAAGACCACTTATTAGGCCTCAAAGTATACCTTAAAAGTACTAAAACTTCAATGTCATACGGACTACATTTGGAAATGGAAGGAACATTCATTTCAAGAGTAGAGTGTAACCTATGTCTCAAGGTAAGTACAAGAAAAGAAAATTTCAGTCCAAAATCACTTTTGAATATAAAGATCAGTTCAGTTCAGTTCAGTCACTCAGTCATGTCCGACTCTTTGTGACCCCATGAACCACAGCATGCCAGTCCTCCCTGTCTGTCACCAACTCCCAGAGTTTACCCAAACTCATGTCCATTGAGTCAGTGATGCCATCCAACCATCTCACCCTCTGTCGTCCCCTTCTCCTCCTGCCCTCAATCTTTCCAAGCATCAGGGTCTTTTCAAATGAGTCAGCTCTTCGCATCAGGTGGCCAAAGTATTGGAGTTTCAGCTTCAACATCAGTCTTCCAATGAACACCGAGGACTGATCTCATTTAGGATGGAATGGTTGGATAGCAAAACACATTTAACACTTTAAGAAATGCCTTCATACTGAGAGAGTCATTTCCTAAGAACATTGATAAGAAGTCTAGGGGTCCCCAAGGAGAGAGAGGTCTGGAATACTCAAGGAGGAAGAAAGGACAAACTTTTTACTTTTTTCCCCTCTACTTTCCTTAGGATTATGTAGCAATTATGTATCCTGCCTGGGGACAGTCTCTGGATTAAACCTTCTGGCTAATTTTGTTATCTTAAAACATAAATTATGGGAGTAGGTCTGGTCTTTACAAGGATGTATCCTGCCTGGAATGTGAAGTCAAGTGGGCCTTAGAAAGCATCACAATGAACAAAGCTAGTGGAGGTGATGGAATTCCAGTTGAGCTATTTCAAATCCTGAAAGATGATGCTGTGAAAGTGCTGCACTCAATATGCCAGCAAATTTGGAAAACTCAGCAGTGGCCAAAGGACTGGAAAAGATCCATTTTCATTCCAATCCCTAAGAAAGGCAATCCCAAAGAATGCTCAAACTACCGCACAATTGCTCTCATCTCACACACTAATAAAGTTATGCTCAAAATTCTCCAAGCCAGGCTTCAGCAATACGTGAACCGTGAACTTTCAGATGTTCAAGCTGGTTTTAGAAAAGACCGAGGAACCAGAGATCAAATTGCCAACATCCACTGGATCATCGAAAAAGCAAGAGAGTTCCAGAAAAACATCTATTTCTGCTTTATTGACTACACCAAAGTCTTCGACTGTGTGGATCACAATAAACTGTGGAAAATTCTGAAAGAGATGGGAATACCAGACAACCTGACCTGCCTCTTGAGAAACCTATATGCAGGTCGGGAAGCAACAGTTAAAACTGGACATGGAACAACAGACTGGTTCCAAATAGGAAAAGGACTATGTCAAGGCTGTATATTGTCACCCTGCTTATTTAACTTATATGCAGAGTACATCATGAGAAATGCTGGGTTGGAAGAAGCACAAGCTGGAATGAAGATTGCTGGGAGAAATATCAATAACCTCAGATATGCAGATGACACCACCCTTATGGCAGAGAGTGAAGAGGAACTAAAAAGCCTCTTGATGAAAATGAAAGAGGAGAGTGAAAAAGTTGGCCTAAAGCTTAACAATCAGAAAACTAAGATCATGGCATCTGGTCTCATCACTTCATGGGAAATAGATGAGGAGACATTGGAAACACTGTCAGACTTCATTTTTGGGGGCTCCAAAATCACTGCGAATGGTGACTGCAGCCATGAAATTAAAAGACGCTTACCCCTTGGAAGGAAAGTTATGACGAAGCTAGATAGCATCTTAAAAAGCAGAGACATTACTTTGCCAACAAAGGTCTGTCTGGTCAAGGCTATGGTTTCACCAGTGGTCATGTATGGATGTGAGAGTTGGACTATAAAGAAAGCTGAACTCCGAAAAATTGATGCTTTTGAACTGTGGTGTTGGAGAAGACTCTTGAGAGTCCCTTGGACTGCAAGGAGATCCAACCAGTCCATCCTAAAGGAGATCAGTCCCAGGTGTTCATTGGAAGGACTGATGCTGAAGCTGAAACTCCAGTACTTTGGCCACCTCATGTGAAGTGTTGACTCATTGGAAAAGACCCTGATGCTAGGAGGGATTGGGGGCAGGTGAGAAGGGGGCGACAGAGGATGAGATGGCTGGATGGCATCACCGACCCGATGGGCATGAGTTTGGGTGAACTCTGGGAGTTGGTGATGGACAGGGAGGCCTGACATGCTGCAGTTCATGGGGTCACAAAGAGTCAGACACGACTGAGTGACTGAAATGAACTGAACTGATCCTGCCTATAGACAGTCTCTGGATTAAACCTTCTGGCTAATTCTGTTATCTTAAAATGTAAATTATGGGAGTAGGTCTGGGGAGGTCTTTACAACCTCCAGTCATTCTTTGGATTCATAGAAGAGTATATAACTCCAGTGCTGACACTAGCAAAGGGGTACTCTTTCTACCCCCTTCTGATGTTTATGTCAGAAGCTTTCTCTATCTCCTTTATACTCTAATAAAACTTTATTACACAAAAGCTCTGAGTGATCAAGCCTCGTCTCTGGACCTGGATTGAATTCTTCTCCTCCAGAGTCCAAAAACCCAGGCGTCTTTGTGTGATTCAGCAACAACCTTTCAATACCAGCAAGGCAAGGATGATTGGACATCAGAAAGTCTAACAATGAAATTTACCTTGTGTATCAGTGGATGTTGAAAACCTGAGTCTAAGTATCACACCTAAGAGTGAGGGTCTCACATAAGGAAGACACTTCTGACAATAAGTACAAAAAGGGAAAACTTACTATATCAACTCTCAAAGCTGATTTTGAAGTGATATACATATGAAAATAGATTTTAAAATTGAATGGAATAAAGAGTCCGAACTCGTACAAATAAGGGTACGTAGCATATGAGTGTGTTGCAATTACAAATCAAAGTAGGAAAATGACCTATTCAATACACAGTCTGAGGACAAGCAGATTGCCTTATGAGAAAGATATAATTAGATTCCTACACACTTCTTCACACACAAAAACTGACAAATGGGTTTTAGAAATAAATTAGAGAAGCAAACTTCGAAGGTATTAGAATATTTTGTAGATTGTTTACATGACTTCAAGTTAGAAAATGACTTTTTAAACACTAACAACATACAAAAAAAAAAGAAAGAAAAACAGTTCTGGAATTAAGTAATCAGAAATACATTTTATAAGAAAAGTGTTTTAAAAAAATCATGTCCAGACCATCAGAGAGTCTTTGCTACACCAATAATGGAAAAAATGTATCTAGGACATATAAATAATTTCTCAAAAACAACAACAAAAGAACAACAGTGTAGGGGAAAGTGAAACAAAAAATAAGATGTCAATTTCTTGAAGGGAAAACTGAATTGCCAATATTCCTATGAAAAGATGCACATCTTAACTGGCAACAGTAGAAGTGTAAGTGAAATTACCAGTAAAGCACTTTTTAAAATATAAATGTATTTATGTTAATTGGAGGCTAATCACTTTACAATATTGTAGTGCTTTTGCCATACATTGACATGAATCCACCACGGGTGTACATGTGTTTCCCATCCTGAACCCCCCCTACCTCCCTCCCCATCCCATCCCTCTGGGATATCTCAATGTACCAGCCCCGAGCACCCTGTCTCATGCATTGAACCTGGACAGGTGATTCATTTCACTTAAGATAATATACATGTTTCAATTCCATTCTTCCAAATCATCCCACCCTCGCCCTCTCCCACTGAGTCCAAAAGACGGTTCTATACATCTGTGTCTCTTTTGCTGTCTTGCATGTAGGGTTATTGTTACCATCTTTCTAAATTCCATATATATGCATTAGTATACTGTATTGGTGTTTTTCTTTCTGGCTTACTTCACTCGGTATAACAGGCTCCAGTTTCATACACCTCAATAGAACTGATTCAAATGTATTCTTTTTAATAACTAAGTAATATTCCATCGTGTATATGTACCACAGCTTTCCCATCCATTCGTCTGCTGATGGACATCTAGGATGCTTCCATGTCCTGGCTATTGTAAAGAGTGCTGCGATGAAATTTGGGGTACATGTGTCTCTTTCAATTCTGGTTCCCTCAGTGTGTGTGCCCAGTAGTGGGATTGCTGGGTCATATGGCAGTTCTATTTCCAGTTTTTTAAGGAATCTCCACACTGTTCTCCATAGTCGCTGTACTAGTTTGCATTCCCACAAACAGTGTAAGATGGTTCCCTTTTCTGTATCCAGCAGATTGTCAAAATACCATGTATTTCACATACTTGGAGGAGAAACTGGTTCATTAGCTGAAACATTTTAGAATTCAAATTAAAAGTATCTACTAAATTTGAAATTATGCTTGCCACATGTATCATTCGGGCTTCCCTGGTGACTCAGTGGTAAAGAATCTGCCTGCAATGCTGGAGACGTGGATTTGATTCCTGGGCCAAGAAGATCCCCTGGAGAAGGAAATGGCAACCCACTCCAGTATTACTGCCTGGGAAATTCCATGGACAGAGGAGCCTGGTGAGTTACAGTCCATGGGGCTGCAAAAGAGTCAGATATGACTTAGTGACTAAACAACAACATGTATTAGTTATGGTTCTCTAGGGAAATATAACCAATAAAAACACATTTGTGTGCATGTGTGATTGATTGATTATGATTAGATCTCAAAAAACTCAGTATTGAGGAAAGAGAAAGATGCAGTATGATATGTGTGTGTGTGTATGTATACACAGATAATGGTAATGGCTGCCCACTCCAGTATTCTTTCCCAGAGAATTCCATAGACAGAGGAGTCTGATGGGCTACAGTCCATGGAGTCACAAAGAGTGGGACACGACTGAGTGACTTTCACTTTCACAAGGCCAGAAATGGCAGAGTGGGTGATATGATGGAGTGATAGTCAGTCAGAGAACATCTTTCCCTGTGGTCATTCTAATCTTAAGAGGGACAAAACTAGGAGGTGTTGTTTGTTGCCTGAGGCTAGGGTAGGTCAAAGTTCAGGGAACTGATGGGAATAGAGAAACTTAACTAAAGTTAAGTCAAGTCAGATATTTTGTCCAGATTGGTCAGTGGGTACAAACAGACCATCTAATCCTTTAAGAGGCAATAATGATAATTTCATTGATTTGTGTCTGACTTTGTTATAGGTAAACAAGGGGAGGCCTCCTTGCATATTATCCAATTCACATGGTTAAGGGAGGCTCTTTTCAATAAGCTGTTTCCCTAAACACAAGTGGGTGGATAATTTCTTAACCATTGCTCTTTTCCAGTCTCTCAGGTCTCCTATAAAATTCAGCACTGTCAGAAGGAAGAGGTTGCTATTTTAGAGAGGGTGGTAGGGGCTGGCCACACTAAGGGAGTGACATTTGAGCAGAGACCTAAACCTTAAGATCTGAAAGACACTAGAAAACGTACTCCAGGCAAAAGACAGAGCAGTGCAAAACCCAGAGGTAGTGAACCTCACATTTTGGAAGAACAGTAAGGAGTCCAGTATGACAGGACATGAATGAGATTAGAGGAGATAGTGATGAATAGTGACAGACAACAAGGTCAGAGAGAAAACAAGGCTGGATTGTGAACGGTCTCATCATTCGTTGTGGGGCCTTTGGCTTTTACTTGGAGTGAAATGGGAAAATCTTGTAGGATTTAAGATGGAGGAGTAACACTTTCTGGCCTGGGTTTTAATGGGGGTCTGGCTGATGTATCAAGAAGTCAATTGCAGGAGTAAGTAAAAAGAGAC